GATTTTTTGTAGAGATGAGGTCTAGCTGCCCAGGCGGGTCTCGAACCCGCGGTCTCAGGCAATCCACTCACCTCAGCCTCCCAAAGGCGCGGGATTACAGGCTGAGCCACCGAGCCCGGCTTGCATTATTTTCTTTCTGTGACATTTAAACAGGATGTTGTGAAGTTAGGTTCCCAACTGAGCATCCCCCAAACCATGTTCTCATTTGAAAATGATACATAAAATTAGCTTTTAAAAGCCTCCTTGTCTTAATCTAACCATTCCTCACCCCAGTCTCCCAAATGTAGTTTTAAAAATGTTGTATTCAATACTTATAAGTTCCGCCATCATTTTGTGGAACTGCGTGGTCCTTCTGGGCACAGAAAAAGTGGTAATTCTTCTTACAGTATTTTACATCACATCCCACGGTGGCTCCTCTCTTATGACAGTGTACGCATTTCTATAGAACAATAGATTTTACTGAGTTAGCACCTGCTTTCCACAATCTTTGCTGAAATTTAAAGTTCAGGATATCATTATACGTTATTTAAGTTAGTGGCCCTGCATTTTATCCTGGCTGTTATTAGCAAAATCCCATCCTGTTACAAAAATTAGGTACAGAACTTAAGTTCAGCTGCCTATTTGGAAACTTCAGCAAAAGCTAACTAGAATGCTTGGCACAGGCTGTTTGTTAATGATCTGATTAAAAGCAGAAAACGCTTTTTGTTTCAAAACACACACTCTCTCTTTGAAAAAGAGATTTCTAAAAAGCAGAGCTGGCAAACGTGTCCAGCTCTAGGCAAGGAGTCCTGGTAGGGACATTGAGACTGAGCCAAGAGCAGCTGTTGGCTGTCCCACTAAGAGCTATGTGGCTTCTCTGTCAGACTCAGATTCCTCCCGAGGGTAACAATACCTGTCTTACAGAGTTGATATCAAGAATAATGTGAGAAGCCCGCGGGTTCGAGACCCGCCTGGGCAACCTGGCGAGACCTCATCTCTACGATAAATCAAAAATTTAGCCAGGCGTGGTAGCGCGTGCCTGTAGTTCCAGTTACTCGAAAGGCTGAGGCGGAAGGATCGCAGAGCCCAGCAGGTTGAGGCTGCGGTGGCCGGGAGCGGCCACTGCACTCCAGTCTGGGCGACAGAGTGAGACTCCAACTCAAAAAAAAAAAAAAAAAGAATAATGTGAGATAAAGAGAAACTGATAGGGATTGTAGGGGGATGGGAGAGGAGGTTGTAGTTAAAACAACTCATCATGTAAACCTTGCAAACAGAGTTGCAATGGCCCCAAAAGCTAACACTCGCTCTAACAGCGTCCTGTGTTTGCTTTCCCAAGATAGCATCCCAAAGCTATGTGACTGATAACATCCTGGTACCGACTCCTCCAGGTTCTGACTATCAATGTTTGCTTTCCTAAGGCTGCATTTCAGAGACAGTGATTAACAACACCCTGATAGCAACTGGTTTAGTGCAGACATCTGCACTTCAAGGCTGTGGGACCAGCAGCCCCCAACAGTGCCAACATCTGCATCTCAAGGCCAGGTAACTGACAGTTGTCCAACAGTGAGAAAGTTGTCTGACAGTGAGACTCCAGCTCAAAAAAAGTAAAAGCAAGGAAAAGATGGAAAGAAACATGTTTGCAGCATATTAGACAAAGTGTTAAGAGTCTAATAACCCACAGAAAAATGGTAGCAGGCAAAACACAAATGGATAACATTTATTCATTTAAAGAATACATAAGTATGTAGTATTTATTTAGCATGTAGTAACCATGATGTGGCAGGCACGGTTCTAGGATAAGGGGGTACAGTAGTGAACAAAGCACAGAAGACAGCTGTCCACATGAAGCTTACACTCTAATGGAGAGAATGTACAGTGGTCAAAGTAAATTTACATTCAAGTTTATATTCTAGTGGACAGACAGGCAATGTTCAAATACAGCAAATTTTAAAATATCTCACAAAGTGATATATACATTGTATAGAATTAAAATAGGGCCAAGGGACAGAGTGTTACCGGTTTCGTATTTCAGATTGGGTGGTCAGTAAAGTATCACATCTAAGGAAGCTGAGATTTGAATAACAAGAGCTGCTAGCATGCAAAAAAAGCCAAAGAAAAGACATTCTAAGCAGAGGGCCTTTAGTTCTTCTGGCAAGAAAGAGCTTCCCCCAGCAAGCTGACCGGAAGGACAAGAGGGACAGCCAGTGCTCTTGCAGTGAAGTAGGCAAGGGGCAATCTCAGGGGCAATCCGAGAAGTAAGGGCTGGATCATGTGGCGCTTACACGCCAGAGGAAGGAGTTGGGGTTTTGTCTTTGTGCAAGGGAACACAAACTAACATTTTAAAGAAATCATTTGGGCTGCTGGATGGAAAATGGGCTGAGTAGGGATGCAGGAGAGACAGCAAGGCGAGTGTCAGTACTCTTCAGCAACCACTGAGAAAGAGCAAGATCGGTGACTTCACTATGGTGGGTTTGTGACACTGAGAGAAGTGGGTGGACAGATGCTTGATGGTGGCTGGGAGGTGAACGAGGAAAAGTTAATCCTTAGACTTCTGGCTTGGACAAATAGATAACGATGGTGCTGTTTACTAGGGCAAAGAATGAGCAGGATTAGATGTAGTGTGTGTGTCTGCATGTAGGGGATGGCATTTTTTGGCCAGTTTACTATGAGATGCTATTAGATATCCATGTGGATATGTCGGGTTGGTGGTCTGAATTCTAGGGAGGGGACAGGGATTGGAGATATAGGCATGAATCCTCGGCATATATGGGAACTGGATGAGGCCACCTTGGGAGGATATTCAGGTTGAGGAAAGAGCCCAGGAAAGAGCCTTAGGACACTCCAAATTTTCGGAGTTGAGGAGGAGAAAGCAGCTAAGGCGCCTGGGAAGAAACAGCCAGAAAGGCAGGAGAAGCTTCGAGTGTGTGTCAAGGAAATGAAAAGAAGAAAGTGCTTCAAGATGCAGGACAACGCCGGGCATGGTAGCTCACATCTATAATCCCAGCAGTGACTGGACATGAGAGGATTGCTTGAGCTCAGGGGTTCAAGACCAGCCCGAGAAACTGAGCAACATAGAGAGAACTCATCTCTACAATAAGTAAAAAAATTAGCCAGGCATGGTGGCAGCTACTGTGGTTCCAGCTACTTGGAAGGCTAAGGCAGAAGGATCGCCCGAGCCCACCTGTTCAAGGCTGCGGTGGCCGTAAGTGTGCCACTGTACTCCAGTCTGGGCGAAAGAGTGAGACTCTGACTCAAAAAAAAAAAAAAAAGATGCAGGGCATGGACAACTGTGTGAGGAATACTGCTGAAAGGTTAAATTAGGACAAAGAAGTGACATTGTATGTGACCAGTTTCTTATGTATGAGAATTTGTTTTAAGATGACATGATCAGTTAGTTGATCCTGTTTATATGCTGAGGGGAATACTCTAGCAGCAAGGAAGATACTGATGTGAGGAGCACAGAGGAGCAAGAGCCTTGCTCTTAAGAAGGGTTGGGGTGGCTCCAAAGCCTCAGTGGAGGCTGGCTTTGACAGGTGGGAGCTCAGAGAGATGGGGACAGAGGCTATGGGCAGTAGTTTGGGTAGTGGGAGTCTCTGTCGAATGGGCTCCGTTTTCTCAGTAGCAATCAGGCAAAGACAACTTGGGGTTGGGTGAGGTTTTACTGGCTGGTTTCGAACCCCCGGGCTCAGGCAATCCTCTTGCCTTGGCCTCCCAAAGTGCTGGGATTACAGGTTGAGCCAACGCAACAGGCCTGGGAGAGGTTTTATTTAAAGAGAGATGAAAGGATGTGAAACTGAATGTCGAGGGTGGAGGGTGAAGCACACATACAGGGGAAGTGCTCAGGGCCCTTCTGAGGTTTGTGGCCACAAATCTGAGATCAGGCAACACATCTGTGGGGTTTTCTCCAATTGTTCACCTACTCAAGTGCTCTCGCAGACAACAGACAGGTGGGTTTAACCAGGTGGAGTTTTGCCAGGTGAAAAAAGAAGTGGGCCAAGCTCAGTGGCTCAGCCTGTAATCCCGTGCTTTGGGAGGCCGAGGTGAGTGAATTGCCTGAGCCCACAGGTTCGAGACCCGCCTGGGCAACTTGGCAAGCCCTTGTCTCTACAATAAATCAAAAAATTAGCCAGCCGTGGTAGCATGTGCCTGTAGTTCCGGCTACTTGGAAGGCTGAGGCGGAAGGATCACCAGAGCCCAGCAAGTCGAAGCTGCAGTGGCTGGGAGCAGCCACCGCACTCCATTCTGGGCAACAGAGTGAGACTCCAACTCAAAAAAAAGAAGTGGTACATGTGGTGGTGGGCGAGGGGGATGGATTGCAGTGGTGGACCATGGCTCTGAGGTGGGGCCGCTGACTGTAAAGGGATCATTAAGGAATTGCTGGGGCTGAGGGAGCCGGGAGGATGGGAGATATTTCCCTAAAGGGAAATAACGTGCAACCTCTTAAATGATCAGCAAAATGCTAGGGAAAACTTTTCTATCAGGTTTGCAAAAATGAACAAAGGTAGTGATACTCATTTTTGTCAAGGCCTGGGTCCCTGATGACATCATCGAGCCACTGAGTCAGCCAACTTTGAAGTAGGTTCTGATTAAATGAAAAAATAAGTATCCTTTTTGTAAATGTCAATTTGAGCTGAGGTTTCTTCTACCTACAGCCAAAAGCATTGTAACTCATGTTTACTTTGTTGATGAGGCATATGGGAGTTTATTTTAAAGTATTAAATGTTAAGCTGAGTCTAATACAGGTCCTCCTCCTTTCAGCTCTCCAAGATGCTTCCCTGTCCCTGGTTTATCAATCAAAAAAATGTTCTTTTTTTTTTTGGAGTTGGAGTCTCACTCTGTTGCCTGGGCTGGAGTACAGTGGCACACTCATGGCCACCCCAGTGTCGACCTCCTGGGCTCAGGCGATTCTTCCACCTCAGCCTTTCAAGTAGTTGGAACTACAGGTGTGCACTACTACACCCAGGAGGGTGTAGTACAATTTTTTAATTGTAGAAACGAGGTCTTGCCAGGTTGCCCGGGCTGGTCTTGAACCTGCGGACTCAGGCAATCCACTCACCTCAGCCTCCCAAAGTGCTGGGATTATAGGCTGAGTCACTCAGCCCAGTCAAAAAAGATGTTCTTTTAATGCATCTTTTTCTCTTTATATTCTTTTTTTTTTTGAGTTGGAGTCTCACTCCGTTGCCCAGGCTGGAGTGCAGTGGCACACTCATGGCCATGCCAGCATCAACTTGCTAAGCTTTGGGATCCTTCCACTGCAGCTTTCCAAGTAGTCAGAACTACAGGAGTGCGTTACCACTTCTGGCTAATATTTTATTTATTGTAGAGATGAGGTCTCGGCAAGATGCCCAGGCTGGCTTGAACCCTTGGGCTCAGGCAATCCAGTTCCCTTGGCCTCCCAAAGAGCTGGGATTACAGGATGAGCTACCAAGCCCGGCCAATGCATCTTTTTAATATAGAGTATGTTTGCCCTGTACGAGTAATAAAATCATTCATACTTACCAACTTCCTTCCTCTGCGGATTTCTTTCTTTACTGATTCCACATCAAAATTTCTGTCAGGATTATGTGGACCATCATCCTCACATTCCACAAGTGCTGAAGAATATAACTGCAGATTGAAAAAAAAAATCCAGAGTATGCAAAAAGTAATATTGAAAGGTACAAGTCATAAAATCATACCAACAAGTACTCACCAGGAGTGGAAGATGGAATGGAGGTAGAACAGTGACCACATTTTGGGTTGGATGAGCAGACCGCAGGCCACCCCACTTGTTTGGGAATGTCCCTGGTCCCAGGAATGTTTCACACTCTGTAACCCTGACCTCTAATAACTACTGGGATCTGAGGGGGTACCCTGCTGCCAAGTCTGATCCCCTATCCTAAAAGTGGGGAAAGGGCTGTGAGCAATAGTTGAAGCCATGTGGTCAGAGCAAGTCAAGTCAGTCTGCAAAGAAAGAAATTCAAAACATGGATGGGCTTGGTGGCTCAGCCTGTAATCCCATGCTTTGGGAGGCCGAGATGAGTGGATTGCCTGAGCCGGCGGGTTCGAGACCTGCCTGGGCAACTTGGCGAGACCTCATCTCTGCAATAAATCCAAAAAATTAGCCGGGCGTGGTAGTGCGCGCCTGTAGTTCCAACTACTTGGAAGGCTGAGGTGGAAGGATCGCCGGAGCTCAGCAGGTCGAGGCTGCAGTGGACGGGAGCGGCCACTGCACTCCAGTCTTGGCGACAGAGTGAGACTCCAACTCTGTAATCCCGCGCCTTTGGGAGGCTGAGGTGAGTGAATTGCCTGAGCCCGCGGGTTCGAGACCCGCCTGGGCAGTGAGACCTCATCTCTACAATAAATCAAAAAATCAGCTGGGTGTGGTGGCGCATGCCTGTAATTCCGGGCTACTCG